GCAGTAAATTAGTGATGTGCTGGGAAGATGTGGGGGAGGGAAAGCATTATTTTGTCCTTTGATTAGGAGTCAACTTTTAGTGAGCTCCTTCCCCTGCGCTGCCAGCTTCACAGTTGCCTCTCAGTTTTTCCACCCGCTTAGGTGGGGCGGAATGTCTAAGGGGGCTGGAGTTGGGTACTTTACCGTCCCCCAGGTTGGTTAGGCTCTGATAAAACTTCAATTGGTTCAGCTCTGGAAAAGTAGTTTCTTTTGAGGGTAGATCTTGTTAAGAAGAACAGACTCTCTGGCATATTCAAAATGGTTACTTTGCCCCTCCCTTGTGGGAAGTGCGAGGGGATTTTTCTTTAATCTTCATTTCGAGAACTTTGCAGCGCTCCTGCCGGCAAACTTACAAAAAGGTCCACGACCCCTAGGGCCGAGCCCCATTGACTTTTTAGCTCTGAGATTCGTCCACACTGATCCTCCAGTAATTTGTCAATGACAGCTCAGGTTTTCCAGCCCCGGGGCTCCCACAGAGATTTCAGCTGGGTTGTGGGAAGGGGGTTTCTGCTTAGGTAAGTTGTGATTGCCTGTATCCACCTGTCTATCCCTCCAGTTTTGGGGACAGTTGTTTGCCCTGTGACCTCGCTTCTCTGACAGATTAAGAAGAGTTATCTATTTTTCGTTTGTTCAGCTTTTTACTTGTTTTTACAATGGGGTGATGACTTCCAAGCTCCTTACATGCCAGACCAGAAACTGGAAGTCTTTGACTCGTGGAGTTTTTAGAACTATGTTTTTTAACATTCCAAATAAATGAGATTGTTTTCTTTACCATTTTTATCATAATTTTGCTACACTATGGTCAGAGAATGTTGCTTTCTATGTCATCAATTTTTTGGAATTTGTTGATATTTTGTCTGTGACTTGGTATGTAGCCAACTTTTTTCAATGTTGACCTGAAAAAATGGTGTCACGTGCAGTGAGGTCTTTTTACCTATTAGATGTAAGAGTTTTAATTGTATGGTTCCTATCCCAAGCTCTGTGGTCCATAACCTGATCATTGCTCCTCATCCTCACCTCCAGGTGATCCAAGAACATTGACAGTGATAATATTAAAGTGAAAATAGCCTTTTCCCACTGAGTCACTGAGAGATAGCTTCCCTTATGTTACCAGAAACGCTATGACACGAGCACACAGGCAAAGTTCCCGTGAGAGAGTTCAACATAAAAGACTTGTGCTTTTATGACCAGTTACTGTCATCAGTTTCTTCGTCTACTACCTTCAGTTCATACATGTGTTCAATTTTCTCTTTCCTGCCTGTCGACATTTCAGTCAGAATTCACAACGTTTTGCTTATCTTCGGATATTAAAAAAGTCCAGTTTGGTTCAATTTAAAATTTTAGTCTCACATCCAACTCAAACATTTCTCTCCCCTACTCACCCCGCCCGGGAGTAACCTGTGCCTTGGTGATCGCATTGGAGAGGAGGGACTGGTCTTTTCTTTACTCCCCTCCTTGATCTTACACATCTTTCTTCCCTCTAATGCTCTGAGTCTCCCTTCCTTCTCAGGTGGGTTGTGATGCTTGATGAGAGACCGAGCATCTCTTTGGAGGCTCCCCAGGGGATACTACACTGCACAGTTTGCTGACATAGGCCATGTGTCCTCTCGTTGAATTCTTGGACTCTCTCGAGCAGGGTTCCATTATACTGGCCTAAGCCTGGTTACCTCCTACAGTATCCTCTTGGCTTACAGGAAAGTCATGCATCCTTGACAACCCAAATTCTAGAAGGGCAAACAGTTCCTGCTGCTTTCTCTCCTTGCTGTAACATTTGTGGCCTCAAACTCTAGGGGATTATGTCAAGATTTCCCAAGCATTCCCTAACCAGGCTCTGTTCTTGGAACTCTCGGTGGGCTTAGGAATTTTCATTGTTGCAACATCTGGCTGCGGAGTGAGTTGTCAGACTCCTCTCACAGGCCCCCTAACCTGCATGGGTAGTTCTATTGGACCTCTTCTTCCCAGTTGGCTTGAGAAAAACCATGGCATTCTCCCTCTGTAGGCTCCCTCTAAGACTACAGACTTAACTTCTATTGTTTAGGCTTCATGGCTTGGTGAGAGCCAGGACCAGAGGACTAGTTTGGCCACCTCTTAGTGGAACCTTTGAGCGGGCTACTTATGGCTTATTTTCCCCAGCTTTGGGGATCATGACACTCTAAAGGAAAACACCCATTCAACATCCTATTTTTCTTTCGTTTTCTTTCTCTTATTATAACTTCTCCAGTTATCTCATGGGATTGCAACATGCTTGGCGTTGGTATATCATAGTGTTCTAATGAATTGACCAACTTTATCTATTTAGAGATGAAGAAAGTATTGTCACATAGCAAAGGCCCAAATGCCCACATTGGCCTGTTGTGGCAAGATACTGACATTTAACCTCTGTAGGCATTATTTGTCTTTTTAAACCAGGGAACTATCATTGGACCCAAATAATTCAAATTTTGGGAGGCATCAAATGAGATGATCAATATGAAATTTGTTTATATAGTGTAAGGTTAAAGATAACTGCTACTGTTTTTAAAATTATATTTGGTGTTATGACTTTAAAGTATGTAAGTTGAGAAGTTTTGAAAAGTTTGTTTTATTTTTTATTTATTTTTGAGACTGAGTCTCACTCTGTTGCCCAGGCTACAGTGCTGTGGCATTAGCCTAGCTCACAGCAACCTCAAACTCCTGGGCTCAAGTGATCGTTCTAGCTCACAGCAACCTCAAACTCCTGGGCTCAAGTGATCGTTCTATCTCAGCCTCTCGAGTAGCCAGGACTACAGGCATGCGCTACCATGCCCAGCTAATTTTATATATATATATATTTTTAGTTGTCCAGCTGATTTCTTTCTATTTTTTTTTTTTTTTAGTAGAGATGGGGGTCTCGCTCTTGCTCAGGCTGGTCTTGAACTCCTGACCACAAGCGATCCTACCGCCTCAGCCTTCCAGAGTGCTAGGATTACAGGTGTGAGCCACCGTGCCTGGCCTGTTTTGTTTTGTTTTAGAGAGAGGTTTTCTCTCTGTTGCCCAGGCTGGAATGCAGTGGCAAGATCATAGCTCACTGCAACCTCCAACTCCTGGGCTCAAGTGATCCTCCTGCCTCAGTCTCTGGAGTAGGTGCGATTACAGGGACGTGCCAGCATGCTGGGCTAATTTTAAAACATTTTGTGTAGAGGCAGGATCTGGCTATGTTTCTCAGGCTGATTTGGAACTCCTGACCTCAGGTAATTCTCCCGTCTCTGCCTCCCAAAGAGCTGGGATTACAGGCGTGAGCCACTGTGCCCAGCTGAGAAGTTTTATGAATATCTCAAAATAAGGTTTATTCTTCCAGGAAACCGTGGACAAAAAATTATCCTATAACAGAATGAAAACTTCAAAATGTCATCTGTGCCAATCCCAATTTTAGGAAGAGCATTTATTAGGACTTTGATTTTTCTTGAATGTTCTCTATTCTCAAAGTGAAGTAACCTTGTATCCTGAAATGAAAGGAGACTGATAAGTCTCTATCCTTGTTTTTATTCTAAAAAATGATTTCTGTTAAGTATTTCTTAATGGAACAAGAGAATATATCCACGCATGTTGGCTAGGATGGATTAGCCTGTGGTCTGGGTTAACAGAATCCCTGTGATATATGAAAAAATTTTCTGCCACCGCTGGTGCTGCAAGACTTGTTACCAGCGTTGCATAGACCCTGGCTGGCCGTTTCATGCCGTGAATGACGACGTATTACTTGAATTGAGAGCTTTGTTCCTATCAAAAGTAAAAATGCTCCCGCAGCGAGGAAGGCCAGAGCCTTTCCCCTGTAACATCAACGGGCTCTACCGGAAGGACAGTAGGAGCCAGAGAGGAGGGTTCCGATCCTGTGTGCCACTGTGTGACGGGCAAGTCCCTTGACCTCTTCAGACCCAGTTCCCTCAGCTGCAAAGCCAGGGGCTTGGCCTGGATACTGTCCCTAAAGCCGAGATGCTGACTCTGCAAAAGTAAAATATTGTTATAAGGCAAAACAAAGCTTGGATTTGCTGAGAGAACTTCTCTTCAAGGAGTTTTCCCAGGTATAAAAATAAGGCAAATAACAAACAACACAGGAATAAATCGGTCTGTTTTACCCAACGAGACATTCCGTGTCAACCTCCCAGGGCCGCTGTTACATCCCACTGCAAGAATGGGAGGGACCATTTCACTACAGACCTGAAATAACTCTGCGGCATTTCTTGGGTGCTCTGGCATCGTTAGGGACGATCGTATATGTTAACTCATTTTATGCTTCTAATAGCCTGAACAAGGAGTAACTGTCTACATTTCCGAGTTCAGAAAACGGAGGTGCTGGAGGTTTTGCGGCTTGCCCAAGGCCCGCGGCCAGCGAGCGCAGAGGGTTGTAAGCTCACCTGCGCCTCCCGTGCGGCCGGGAGCCTCGCCAACCTCCTCGGCGGGGCTCCGGGAGCCCCGAGGACCGAGCCGCTCCCGACGACAGCCCCCGTGCGCGCGCTCGGCCTCTCAAGGCTCCTGCGGGGGCGGCCTGCCCCGCGGACGAGGGTCTGTGTAACTTGTGGGGCGGGGAAGTGGGGGGCTGTCTCCTGCCTTGGTTCCCTGGAGGGGCGAGGAGCCCTTCTAGCCGTGATCGCCACGCACGATCGGTCCCGGTCTCCCGCGGCTTCGTGCCACTGTGCGCCCAGGGACCTGCGTCCCAGTGACCATGCGAGATCTACCGGAGCAGCGCGAAGAGCCGCCGAGGGCGGCGCAGGGCTCCGGGACCCGCGCCTGCAGCCGTTCACAGGGGCGGCCGCCCCCGCGCCCGCGACGCCTGGCTTCCCGCGGGTCCCCGCGCTCACTCCGCCTTCGTCACCAGCCTCCCGCGCCGCGGGCAGAGCGCTCAGCTGACCTGGGGGCGGAGCCGGGTCTCGGGGCGGGGACAGCTGGAGCCCGGGCTTCTTGCGAGCGGAGGAGCGGCTTCCCCGCGGGTCCCCTGCAGCGCCGAGATGCGCCCCCACCTCCTGCTGCTGCTCGCGGTGTGCGGCGCGGGCTGCGGGGCCGAGGCGCGCAGCTATAGCTTGCGGGGAAGCTGGAGCATCCGCAGCGGCAACGGCTCTCTGGAGCTGCCCGGCCAGGTCCCCGGCTGCGTGCACAGCGCCTTGTTCCAGCAGGGCCTGATCCAGGTACCGTGCGCGGCCGCCCCGCGGCGAGCCGGGCCCGCGCTGCCCGGTGGACGGAGGGGCCCGGGAGCCGCCTGGCGGCCGCGAGCCCCTGGCTGTTCCTGTCGCTGTGGCCCTAACTTCCCGTTTGCACCCTGTGGTCTGTCGGGGGAAGTGCCCGGGCGGTGGGGTACGGGCCAGATGGAGACTGACCGACCCACGCCGGGACACCAGCCGCCGTGGGAAGCGGAAGTTTAGATCGAGCAAACTGTTGCTAGCAGCTCGCTTTTTGCGGGAGCCTCAGCTGGAGCGCGCGCACAAAGGGCACGTTGTCGCTGCCAGGCATGGGGTGGGGGCCCTGTTTCAGCTGTCTGGACGCCGCGGGGGACAATAGGCTTTTGCTACGCAAGGGTTAACTCCATGGAGTAATGTCCCCGTTTTTCATTTTCGTTCCTAAGCGAGTCAGGTTTGGGACGGATGCAGCACGCAGGTGGAGGAGAGCACCTGCGAGGGTGAAGCCGGGATTGCGGGGCCGGTGCAGTCGCTGGATAATCTTTAAGGCGGACTGGGATATGAAGAAAGGCGCTGTTTCCTCTCAGGGAACGTGGAATGTCACTTCCATCCTTCGCTGCTTTTGCTGCTCCATTAAGCTGCACCTTGTTTTCTCACGTCTTCTCTTTGCTGGGGACAAGATGTGCTTACACTCGATGTGCTTGGGCGTTGTCCCAATTCTCATAACGACTCTATAGAGTAGGGTTTCTTATCTGGATTTTATGGATGATACGGAGTTTCGGAGCCCAAGGAAGTGAGAGCACATGACCAAGATCATACAGCAACTAAGCTGACAGCAAGAGAATTCTAATCCAGGTGGGCCCAACTCCATAGCCTGGATTCTATATTATGCTGTGCTTACCTTGGTTTTTTGAAAAATCATGTGTTTCCGAAGCACTGTGGCTGACTTTCAGGAGTGTCATTCTAAATTTACTTCAGCGACAGGATGGTCAGCGAGGGTCATGCGGAATTTCTGGTCTGGTACTCAGGTTTTTTCCCCCCAACATATATATCAAAAAGGAAGTAAGTGCTGTAAATGATGCTGACCACTGCTCAATATATTTATATTTTAAAGTAAATCATTTTCAAACTTAAGTACTTTTTTTTTCTTTTTTGAGACAGAGTCTCACTCTTTTGCCTGGGCTAGAGTGCCGTGGCGTCAGCCTAGCTCACAGCAACCTCACACTCCTGGGCT